CTTAATAGTTAAAAAAATTTGAATTTCATCAGAAACATTCTGCTAAAATATGGAATAGAAAATAGTCATTTTTCGATGGTGATGTACATTTTCCAAAATGAGAAAAATTCTAAATTGATTATAGATGTTATTTGTAGCAGGAAAGTGTTTTCTAACTCTCGTATTTTTTAACCTCATTCCAAGAATATTTCAAACATAAAATTCCCTGATACTATCTACTGTTGCTTAATATTGTCGAAGGCAGCTTGGTAGTTAAAAATGCGTGATAAACTTGTAGTCAATTGTCGATGAGGTAGCGGCAGACATCAGCGAGCGATTAGATGGCGAGCGAATGTGCGTCAAAAATTGGCAGAAGAGAAGAGCAGTGTAGCTGCTAGGCTGATTGAGTTGTAGGCAAGAAGAGCAGTGTAGCTGCTAGGCTGATTGAGTTGTAGGCAAGAAGAGCAGTGTAGCTGCTAGGCTGATTGAGTTGTAAGTATGGACGCGTTATCAAGACGCGACCGCGACCATACATGGCACTAATTATCGGGACTTGCGGAGACAGGCGTTGTCGGTTCCGTGACCGTGGAGAATTTACTCGAACTTTATTTGTAATATTTCCAGTTTTTTTTTTGCTTTGAGTTTATCAGATTTACAAAAATTCCTTAATATTTGTTACGCATGCATGTGTTGAAGATACCAATAAATCCTCAATGCAAAATTTTAGATTTTTAATTGAAATTCAAAACTCAGCTGTGAAATTTTAAACGAATAGCATCCCATTGATGCTATAATCTGTGTACTTAAAAGCTGGAAAAGCACTGAGTGAAAATTATATGAAGACTTCGTGCAGCTCATCACAAAATATCCCATCCTTCGATAAACTATATATTTATTTTCGAGAACAGAGTATCCTTCTTCCAGCTAACATTTGTCGACGTTCGAAATCCGAGAAGCTTGTTATGCAGAGAGGAAGACTTCACCAGATGCGAAACTTACGAAATTTGAAGAATATCTTTAAGAATTTTGAATGTTTTGCAGTATTGGTCAAACTAATCTCTCAAGACAATGCATTCTTGAACGATGAATTCTAATAATAGGCAGAGGCTGCAGAGACAAAATCTCTTCCCACGGAACTGTCATGACGAGACAAGAATTTCTGGAACTGATCTCAGCCTCTGAGGATCACAAGTCCGCGTACTTGAGTGAACAGAAGTTAGTGATGGCAAAGACATGTGAGAGCGGCTTATAATTAATACATAATATAATAATATACAATATAAATTATGATGTACTATTGTTTTCAATCTTAATTGCAGCACTGGTCTTATCGGTTAATGAAGTTATAGTTGCCTCAATTCTTTCTGCATAATAAATGTATTAATATAAGAAATGAGATTAACACTTAAATTGATTTATAATTTGAAATGTTTGAAATAAAATATAAAATATCTATGGAAGATATTAAAATAATAATATATAAAACAATCAAATGAAATAAATATATAATAGATTATGCAGTCAGCATAATAAATGCAAATCATTTCATAGATGAATTAGCTTCCGTTAAATCTGTTCATTAATAGTAGGAACTCATCTTGATAGTAAGCAGAAAAATAGAAATCGATCGAAAATTTGGTCTTCTTCAAACCTATAAATGTATTTTCAATTATTCAATATCTTGGTTATTTTATTCTATAGGGTTCGAAATAAAGAAATTCATAATAATATGATCATTGATGATATATATGATATAAAGATAGACATTAATACTTTAAAAATATGTAAATATCTACTTCGTCGAATAATAGTATTCTGTCACAAACAGTTCAATTCGTATATAGTACTTAATAAATGCAAATAAACAAATTAATTTATGTGATCCAAATAAGTTTGCAAATACAAAATTAGTATACATATGAATTTGAAGCTACTTGCTTTTATTCATTCAAATGCACTGAATAAGTCATTCATAGGTTTCATTTTTTTCTACTTCCTATACAAGTGCTACGGCGTTAAAAAAAATATAACACTGTTTTTGCGTGTATGATTAGCGTATGTTAATAGAATGCAGTATTTTTAATTTCATCTCCATTGCGATGAAAATAAGAATGAATTTCCGTTTCATTCAAATTCACGTTTAAGATCACTATCCGTTTTTCGGTAAATTTCGTAAGCAAATGGGGCAGTGGCGCGTGATCAGTCACTGGTCGCGTAGGCAGGTAATATTAGCCTTTATTAGGCGGCCACATCTCCTTATGGAAGTCATTTCTCGGCTTAATATCCTCATGTCGGGGCCTTTCAGCGTCTGTAATGACCTGCCACAAACGGAAACCCCTTTGAAAAACATAAACTTTTAGAATGGACTTGGAATGTTTCTATGGCATTGCGAGTATTAATGAATCAAATTTATCGATTTAGAATATTCTTGAAAATAGCTAATTGAGTGAGACTTTTTTCTCATAATGACCCGGAAAATAGATTATAGATCCCCAATGTATAACGACATTTCTCAGAAGTTGCGGCGCTTGACTTGAGCGTCATGGTTGAACAATACAATTATTATTCATATGCAATTGGGATTGTCCGACAGCAGTGTATTTTAGCGAGCGTACCCAAGGTAAGTTTATGTAGTCCATCTTACTTTTCTTTATATGGATGCCCGGGTAGCTGAGCTAATTACTCATGCCCCAGTTAACTAGATGAGAGCTGAGCGTACGGCAGCTGCTCCCTGCTTGGGTGTGGTCCGCCGTAGTGGTGGTGGTGGTGGTTTTGTAATGGTGATGGTGTTGGTGGTGATAATGCGATGGTGGTGGTGGTGTATTGGTGATACTGGTGGTGGTGTGATGGTGGTAGTTATGGTGTGATGGTGATGGTTGTGGTGTGATGGTGGTGGTTGTTGTGTGATGGAAGGGGTTGTTGTGTGATGGTATTTGATCCTCCGATAGTGTTGGTTATCTGGTTGAGATTGTGTGGTTGTGGTTGCCCTCCGATGGTTTTGCACCGGAAATCATCAGAGGCTTCATAGAGTGGGTGGTCTACTGGTCGCGGGTTGACGATGGTGTAGAAGCAATAGTTTTAAAAATATATGAGTGCTAGTAAAAATGAATGACTGGTTGAATACACTGGGTTGAGGCGATGATAATTTAGATTTTAGAGGATCGTGGCCATTGTGAGTTCCTGTCAAAGTTGATGTTAATGAAGATGCGACTTGAAAAGTAACTTATATGTAAGCTGTGGTACAAACTATAGCAGATAGAAGGTGGTGGTGGTAAGGATGGGTTACGACGGGTGGTGACATTCAATGACAATAGGTGGAGGTGGTGAGTTTCAGTAAATGCAGGTAGAGGTGAGTTTTTGGCCCTAAGTCATCCACTTTGAGCGCAAATGAGCTCGAGTGTCCGTGGGTTGCAGTTTTTGGGTGACAGCAACTCTTGTAAGCTGCTTCTCTATGTTGCTGCTTCACTGCAACAACTGTCGCCAAATCATTGCCGTCTTGTTCATTACAAGCGACAATACAAATTTTCTACATACTTCAATTACAGCATGCAATGGATAAGCCGCACGAACGTTGCGCCACGGGATAGAACCGCCTTACACTCATCACAAGATGCACTGCAAACATAACAAATGTTATGTGAAAAACTTACATAACTGGGAAAAACACGTTATGTTATATTATACGAGTTCCGTTGCACACAACTTTGCACACAATTTCGCCTCGGTCAGCACAAATTTTATCGCATCAAGCGACAGTATCAATTCAAACACAAGTAACGCCACAGAGACAGAACCAACATAACAGAATCATACGTTACGTTGAAAAAACTTGCGTAATAATTCAACAAAGCTCAATAATAAGATAATAATAATTCAATAACTCAAAACGTTGCGCGTAAACGATGCAGTGCGCTCGGTGAAGTTCTAACTCCGCCTCCCATTGATGCGTCAACGCCTGCCTCGCGCAAGCCAAAAACAACCTTCCTCACCAGGACTAGAACCGCAGTTGTTATTTTTCTATAAAATATGAATCTTTTTTAAATTTAGAAAGAAGTTTGATACGTTTACTGAGTTTAATTGACGAATGTCGGTTCCTGATACTTCAACGGGCAAAATGTGGAACGCTTCACGATTTTGCGTGTCATCCTTGCGCAGGGGCCATGCTAATCTTCTCTGTATCGTTCCAATTTTAGTATATGTACCGCCGAAGCAGGTACGAGTGATTGCAGCATTGAGTGGATCACATGAAACGTTTCAAGGATGGCATCGAAGGTCTGGCCTCTGGAATATTGCTTCAGCAGCAAAACATCCGAGCTATAAGATGAAAATATAAAACTGATTTTATCACAATATTTTTGTGTCAATGTCTAAAACTTTCAAATTGATTAGAAAGCCTATAGGATTTGACAACAAATGTGGTGTATTCACAAAGAGAATGGAAAAAATCTTGTTCGCCATAGTTTTAAAGATGCATGTTTTAGCGAAATTTCTCTTCCATGACAGACAAAATATGATCACAATTTAATCTATTGAAACCAGTAATATTTCAGGCGCGCATGGAGCATCCTCCTGCCAATGAAGTATATATAAGTATTGGTTTAAAATAAATAAATCCAACGAGGACCATACAGTCACCGTCGGGCCTCATTTGTTGCTTAGCAACTATAATGTTCGTATTCGTGGGCAGCGACTGTACAATAATAAACAGATATATAGGTTCACCAACATAGCAAATATAATTATTTTATTCGTTTTCATTATTGATAAATTGATATTGATTATTTCAATTTTAAATTGTTTATAATATAAAATTTCCCAGTGATTTTCTAAGCAATCATTTATTTCTGATTCAAAGGGAAATAAACAAACTACACAGGTTAGAAATGCTTTGAGTTGCTCAAAGAGTTAGTCAAAATGATATCAAACTTGAAGCTTCCATTATCACCTGATATTCATCAGTACTCATCGTCTAAATAATATGGACCCGGTTTCATTTGATCGACAATTGGCCATCTCATACCGTACCTGCTTCGGCGGTACATGTACTAAAATTGGAACGATACAGAGAAGATTAGCATGGCCGTAATAGAAGATTAGCATGGCCGTAAAAAAAACCGTAAGTACTAAGTTTTTTGGGATAGCGAAATCCCAAACAATGACCCCATAAGAGTATTAAAATGTGCGGTAATGCAACGCTTTCAAGTTTTAGAATTAAAACCTAAGACATATTCAACCTTCTGCAATTCAACCATATATAGCATTCATTGGCCTGTCTCCGTGTTTCATTTGGTCCAGAAAATTTCTAATATCAGTGTACCTGCTTCGGCGGTACATATACTAAAATTGGAACGATACAGAGAAGATTAGCATGGCCCCTGCGCAAGGATGACACGCAAAATCGTGAAGCGTTCCACATTTTTAACCGCACTAATCTACTTCACTAAACTCACTGTAGTACACAACAATTCTTATAAATTACACTGGAGATAATTCAAACATAATTGTGAAATTCTCAGTCATTACCCAATACTCGAGCTCGGCTTGGAACACGTTGCCAGTGCCGGATGAAAAACTTGCGTCATTGGTTTCGGATGGCTACTTTTTCGATGTCAATCGACGACCCACGATAGGCAAATCTGTTTCATGTACGAGAATAATGTAGGATCCATGTGAATTGATGAATATACAATACTCCTGAGGCTGATGGAGAATTATCAAACGTGCCAGAACGAGCCTAATTAAAGAGTGAAGACACGCACTCAGCAATTTCTAAAACAGGGAGCCAGAGCTGTGTAAGATGACATTGGAATTGATGTAATTTTTTATGAATTAAGGGTATGTAACTCAATCACATGGTGCAGGTACATAGTTCAGCAATGAAATTACAGAAAAGTCCCCCGTCTGAGTTGGGAAATGTGCGATCATGCGATTTTCTTAAAATTCAAATCTTGGACTGAGCCAAACTCATGTTCGCAATCAGCATGGTTACTATAATTTATAAACATGTTAGACTGTAACAACCTTAAAATCACTCCACAGTCACAGTGTACCATTCCTTAGCTAGTTGATCTCAGTGCTTCATGTGGTCGAAAAAATTTTAAATATAAGTGTACCTGCTTCGGCGGTACATATACTAAAATTGGAACGATACAGAGAAGATTAGCATGGCCCCTGCGCAAGGATGACACGCAAAATCGTGAAGCGTTCCACATTTTTAACCGCACTAATCTACACCACCAAACTCACTGTGGCAAGCACCAATTCTTATAAATTACACTGGACTTAATTCAAACATAAGCGTGAAATTCTCAGTCATTATCAAATACTCGGCAGAGACAGCATCTGGGCTCAGTTTGTCGCGCGTTCGAATTAAACGGCGCGGTCAATAGTGGTTTTGGGAAGCTGGCACAGAGATGCGGATGAATATAAGCTGAGGAATACAAATTTAAGTACGTTTCGGTGGATTTTTCGGGGTTTTAACCCCAATGAAAAACTGATTCAAATCATCCAGACTATACATCTGTCGACAATAATACTTGTGATATCATTTTTGTGAAATTTTTCCTTAATTCGAATTGAATTTGTTACAGATAATTTCACGGAACATATTTTACTGAGATTCGTTGCGCTCAGCTGAATTTTTGCAACCCCGAAACTTAGCTATTAAGCACACGGTAACACTGATCTCAAAACCAAGCTTAGAAGAAAAAATTTATTAATATTCTCCTTCCACGTTCTTATCATTTTTCCTGGTTGTTATACTGCCCAAGAGAAATAAGCGAGTTACAGTATGGTGAGATTTTTGGGGGCTATAGAAGCGTGAAATGCTTCAAGATTTTGCGTTGCATCTTTCCGCAGAAGCCATACTAAACATGCTAGTCTATAAATTTCAGCATTTATTGTAACGTTAGAGGTTTGTCATCATACACATGTAATTTATATTGGATATCAGTCTCGGCAACAAAGCATCCACCGTGGCGTGATAAGCGTCATTATTTTATGTTCGTGTTGTGGCCACGTTAGCTTCAAAACTTTCACCTTATTTGAAATTACTAGGTGATTGCATGAGCGAAGTAAATGTCTACAGAAGGCGAGCCACGTTGATTGAATTCGAGAATAGGTTTCAGTTCTCCCATCGTTGGAGCTGCAGACCTCAGGCTAAGCTGAAGAAAAGTTTTTAGAGAGGGAAATTTTATAACATCCAAAAACAGGAATTATTTATAAATTATATTAGTAAAACCCGGACATATTCACTGAGTATGTAAAATAGCTCAGAGATTTGCAGTAGTGCCATCAATTTTACGCAATTGTCTGGTATGTAAATGACAGTAGATGGAATAATTTATAATTCATTTTGAAAACAAATGATCAATTCATTTTGAATACAAATGATCAATTCTTCATTGCAGCAACAATCCATTGGAAACCAGCCATGTTGCATTGGTACGTTCCATTTCCTACTTAGTTCATTTTATAGACTACTGATCAAACAGTCTTTATGTAACACCCGTTTCTTGTGACCGATAAATATTCCAAACATAGTGTACCTGCTTCGGCGGTACATATACTAAAATTGGAACGATACAGAGAAGATTAGCATGGCCCCTGCGCAAGGATGACACGCAAAATCGTGAAGCGTTCCACATTTTTAACCGCACTAATTTACTCTACCAAACTCACTGTATTCGCTTCTAGAGCAGATACAACTAGTAATATCTAAACGTAGATACTTTGCATTTTTGGCTACCCAGATTGGCCAGGAAAAAATTCCCACTGTCAAAGCAGTGCTTACCGTGAGAGTTCGAGACTGCGAGGCTGGTGTGCTTTTGAGAATCTGGCTCAATAATCCGGCCACGCGGATGAAGGAAAAAGTTTTAATTTAGTGAACAATGGAAATAAAATCAAATTCTGTTTAGTCATATTGTCTACTATCGAGAGAAATTAAAGATTTGAATCAATAGGGAGATTGGAACGTACTTTGAATTAAACTAATTTGTTCATAGTCGTATTTCAACAGCCATGAACGAAGCACATGGCTACCTATGCAACAAGTCTTCTTCGACGTAAAAGCTATTTCTTTCTTAATGTTCAATGAAAATTCAGTTGGGTTACATGAATCAAGTTTGTCCAGTTAAATGTGGAATGCTTCGGAATTCGGGGAGTCTTTTTTGCGCAGGAGCAACGCTTATTTTTTTCTCTATCGTTCTCAATTACTATCGTTTCAATTTGATTGCAGTTTTACTGGCCTTTATTATTTGGATTACTTCATGATGAATGAAAGAACTGAAAAAAATTTGTACAGAAAATGTCTTAACTTTTCATCTCCTTCGCTTCACAACATCCGCACTACCGGACCCGGAGACAAAATCTCAAAACAACCGCCGCCGCCCAGCCTCGAACCCGCGCGCCGCGGCAAACACTCACTGCGCTCTATGCCGAGCGCGAGTATTGGGTAAAGACTGAGAATTTCACAATTATATTTGAATTATCTACAGCGTAATTGATAAGAATTGGTGCGTGCTACAGTGAGTTTAGTGAAGTAGATTAGTGCGGTTAAAAATGTGGAACGCTTCACGATTTTGCGTGTCATCCTTGCGCAGGGGCCATGCTAATCTTCTCAGTATCGTTCCAATTTTAGTATATGTACCGCCGAAGCAGGTACACTGTTACTTGAAAATTTCTCGACCAAATGAAACACGGAGACAAGCCAATGAATGTTACACTGCGTAGGGAACTATTGCCGGGGTAGTTAAGTTTTTTGTAAGCTTATATTGTTGAATTGCAGAAGGTTGAATTTGTCGTAAGGTTTAATTCTAAAACTTAGAAGCGTTGCATTACCACACATTTTCCTACTCTTATGGGGTCATTGTTCGGGATTCCGCAATTGAACTTTTACTTACGGTTTTCTATTGAAATTTTCGCCCTTAACCTACAACTGAGCACAGCTACTGTTGTCTTCTTAGATAGTTTTGTGTTATCGGCTGTAATATTTTTCGTGTATCTTTAGCCTTTATCTGGCACGTCTGAAATTCCCTTTCGGCCCCAAGTAAAGCAAATTTAACATTTCGCATGGATCCAAATGTTCCATTTCATATAGTGTTCATTTTCACGTGTCCATGGTGATCGAAACAGACCGTATGTTCCTCATCTTTGTTGCGCAAGCCGTCGACCGAAACTGAAAATATTTATTGAAAATAATTATTATTAATTTTATAATTTATTGAAAATAATTATTGAAACTGAAATAATTATTACGCCGTTGCCTAGCAGCTATTTTTGTGTTTCTTGAAGTGCCTGACATGTCGGTGTGGAAAAATATGTATAATAGAAGTATATAATATAATTAATATATAAGTAAAGTTATTGGGTTCTATCTTCACTTGCTTCATTGCAGTGCAGTGAAGATTTACGTGTTCCAAAATCTTCTTTTTTAAACGGAATGCTCGTTACGTACAGTATATTTCAACTGAATAAACCAAAAAATGTTTATTGTTTTTGTTAAATTTATGAAGCTGATGCAAAATGCTTTATATCTAAAATTAGCTGTTTTAGATATGGATATCATCCATACTATAAAAACTTATAAGGTATATGGTTTAAATGGTTATAATTTATTATGTTTTATTAGCATGGCTTTTAGTTCCAAAAGTGATGACGTCTTTCAATTTTTTTAAAGTTTTCGTCGGCATTTTTCAACTTTTCTGCTCTGATGCCACATGAGATAAGGTTGAAATATGCACTTGTTGCGTTACCCTACTGAGTTGCGTTTATTCTTTTAAAACTCAAACATATTTCTATTCAGTTTGTTGTATTGATCCACAGTGGAAAAAATTATGCAACCGTTACGATTAATCATTCTGTTTAAACGGAATAAGACAATAATATTTTAAGATATGTGATAAGTCTTCGGAATTAAAGCATTTCTGCTAGGACCTCTATTTCCTTGTCTTTTTGAGTTAAGCGATATTAAATCAGCAGTGCAACACATTTTAGTAGCAAATTCTCTTAGTTCAATGGAAGTAATATTGACGCATGCACTGCACCAGAAGCTCGCGTTTGTTAAGCTGTTTATTAAAGCATTAGGGCCAGATAAATCAGCATCCCCTAATTGTGTCAGTTTAATGATAACAAAA